TCCATTTCTTCTGTGTCTTCTATTCTGTGAGAATAAAGATTCTCAAAGTAGCTATTGATAATCTTCTGAATTTCCACTGGGTCTGTGGTAATTACCCCCTTTGCATTCCTTATTGCTTGTATTTGAATTTTTTCTTTCCTCTTTTTGATCAGGTTACCTAGGGGCTTATCAATTTTATTTAATCTTTCAAAGAACCAGCTTTTTGTTTCGTTAAGTCTTTGAACTGTTTTCTTCGTCTTAGTTGCATTAATTTCTGCTCTAATCTTTATGATTTCTTCTTGTCTTTGGGCTCTGGGTTTGGTTTGCTCTTCCTGTTCTAGTTGTTGGAGGTGCAGCATCCGGTGTTTATTTGTTCCTGTTCTGTTTTCCTAATGTGTGAGTTCACATCTATGAATTTTCCTCTGAGAACTGTTTTCATCTTATCCCACAAATTCTGATAACTTGTGCTTGAATTTTCATTGAATTGTAGATATTGTTGAATTTCTTGTTTAATTTCATCTGTGATCCATTGGTTGCTGAGTAGGGTGTTGTTTGCATTTAGAGTTTTTTTCTGGTTTCTTTTGTCATTTATTTCCAGTTTCATTCCACTGTGGTCAGATAATATGCATGGGATAATTTCTGTTTTCTTGCATATACTTAAGCATGACGTGTGGACCAGTATGTGGTCTATTTTAGAAAATGACCCATGTGCAGCTGAGAAAAATGTGTATTCAGCTGTGTTTGGGTAGAATACTCTGTATATGTCCACCAAGTCCATTTGTTTCAAGCTCTGGTTCAGTTCTGTTAATTCTTTGCTAAGTTTTTATCTGTTTGACCTATCTTTTTGGGCTAAAGGGGTGTTAAGGTCTCCTGTTAAGATTGTGGTATTGGATATTAGATTTTTCATGTCCATTAAAATTTGCTTTATATAGTTGGGTGCTCCCATGTTTGGTGCATACATATTTATGAGTGTTACCTCTTCCTCTTGAATTTTTCCCCTAACCAGTATATAGTGGCCTTCTTTATTTTGCTTGATTATTCTTGGTTTGAAGTTGAGACTGTCTGAGAATAGGATTACTACCCCTGCTTTTTTCTGAGGTGCTGGGGCATGTAGTATTGTGTTCCACCCTTTGACTTTCAGCCTATGAATGTCCTTATGAGTTAAATGTGTTTCTTGTATACAGCATATTGTTGGATTTTGTTTCCTAATCCACTGTGCCAGTCTGTTTCTCTTAATTGGTGAATTGAGTCCATTTACTTTGATGGTTAGAATTGAGATGTATTGACTTACGATTGACATATTATTTACCTGTTGTCGTTTACTCCTTTTTCTCCTGTGCTTAATTCAGCACCATTTGTTAAAGAGGCTGTCTTTCTTCCCGGGAAGAAAGGTGTTTGTTCCCTTTGTCAACAGTAAGGTGGCTAAGTGTATTTGTAGTTGTGTCTTCTAATCTGTTCCATGAATCCTCAGGCCTGTTTTTTGTGTTTTTTTTTTTTTTTTTTTTTTTTTGCCAGTATGGTACTGATTTTATCGCAGTAGCTTTATAGTATAATTTCAAGTCAGGGGTTGTGATGCCTCCGCCTTGCCTGTGTTGCCCAGGATTCCATCCTCTCTGTCTTTTATGGCTGGCTCATCCCCCTTTTCTGTCTGAACCTTTCCTGTTTTGGGCTGTCTTATATTTCTTCATGACTAAATTGAGACTTTTCCTTGCCGGCACCCTGCGCGGGTGACAAGTTTCATACACAGAGGTGTGTACTGCCATTGGCTTTTCCTTGGTGAGGTTAATTTGAATCGTCTGTCAAAAATAGTCACTTGTCACATGGTAAATGACCAAACTCGGACTTCCTTCTGCCTTTTCCACTCTGCGTGTGCCTGTAATGAAGACTCTCCTGGCATCTGCCTGTGCTCCCTCCCTGTGTCCATCTGTCCATCCATGGACTGCTTCCTACCCATCTGCAGGGCTGTTGCTCTGTCTGGACTCCTGTCTCTGCAGTACGTCTTAGCTGGCGAGTGCCCAGCCTGGCCCTGATTCAGCTCAGGCAGCCGTCTCTGCAAGAGGAAGATGCCCAGCTCCTTCTAGTGGGGCATGTGTTCAGTGTTGGCATCTGAGCCTTGGGTTTTGTGGCAGTTTTTCAAGTAGATTGTGGCATCCAATTTTATATAATTTTTACCAAAAAGCTCTGAGTCACCAGGCCAGTAAGAAGTGATCAGGGTCTACCCCAAGTCTCTGTCTGAAGCATCCGACTCTACCCTGTGGCTTTTGTCTATTGTCGTTGCAGCTTGTCCTCCTTTCCTGTCTCCTTTTCTTCCTGTTCCCCTCCCCTGCTCTCCTCTCTGCTTTTCTCTCTCAATCTCATTGATCAAGCCGTGTCATTTATTTGTTGCAGATAAGGAAGAGAGCCAGGAAAGCAAAGATTTATGCTGTGGACAATGCCTTGATGAACTTGAAAAGTCAAAGCAAGAGTGTCAAGACCTGAAGAGAAAACTGGAGAAAAGCTGTAGGCATCTTCAGCATCTGGAGAGGAAGCACCAAGCTGCAGTGGAGAAGATAGGAGGTTAGCGCCCAAATGTCGCACTGTCCCCGCGCAAAGCTCTTCGGTGCGCTTGGAGTGTTCAGATGGGACAGCCCCTTTAATGAGCACGCTGCTTCTCCGGGGTTAGTTTGAACCAGTGCACACCTTCTTTCCATTAACTGGATTGTTAGTGAACTCAAAATGGGCCGGCTTCGCTTCTACCAGAGCTTCTCTTTGCGTTCTGCATCCCTGCCTGGACAGCGTAGGGTCCGTCGGGCACTGAGCTGCGTGCTGGGGCCTTTGCTGGGGAGTGAGCACTGGACTCAGGGTAAAGACGTGGCAGAGGGGAGTGGGCCTGGCCAGGCGTCACGGTGCCCCGGGCATCTCGGTGCTGCCAGGCCGCGCTGGGGGAGCCGCCCTCTGCACTTCCTGGGACCCTTGTCGCTCCACCTGGCTCTGTGCTCTCCATTTTGAGCGTTTTGGATTCCTGCTCTGGCCGCACTTTCTTTTCCTGGTGGCCTTGCATGCGGCGCTGCCCGTCTGCCCTGTACTTTCCCTGCCCTGTCCGCTTCGGCCTGCTCTTCCCTAAGGCAAAGCCGTAGCATTGGGGGGCTGCCCGCTGATTTTCCAGGCCTTTGCCAGAGGATGAGAGTCTGTTACCTCCTGCACCTCTCTGGGGAGGGAGCCGCTAGTACAGAGAATCTTGGCATGAAGAGGAAGCCTGAGTGGTGAGGTCTCCAAGAATTGCACTGTCCACAGAGACAGGCGGATGCATTCATTTGCCTTCTACACTCGTGTCCTTCGTGGACCCCGCAGGCATGCCTGAGTGCTTGCCGACACGCAGCTAGAGTGACCTTAAGCAAGTGGATCGAGACATTTCCGTGTTAAAAACTCCTCAGCGGCTAGCTCTGGCCCTCAGCACTAACTACAGACACTTAAATTTCACGTCGTCTGTGGTGCTCTACCACAGAGCTACCTCCTGCCCTTTTTATTTTTTATTTTTCAGACTGAGTCTCACTAAGTTGCTCAAGTGAAAGTCGGATTTGGCGATTCTCCTGCCTCAGCCGCCCTCAGTGCTGGGTTAGAGGAATGCGCCGCTGCGCCAGGCTTCTCCAGCCCTCTTCCTCTCGATAGAGCCATGATGTGGGTTAGTCGCTCGGCTGCAGCGCAGCCCTTGTTTGGGCTCCGAGTCCCTGGGCCTTTTTCTTGGCCACGTCTCCTGAGCTCATTGCCGGGCAGATGCCTCTAGGCCTCTCACTAAGCACCGAAGCCCCGGCCAGGCCCATCGCTTCAGTCTTCCCGGGCCCAAGGTGCTGTCCCCTGCACTGTGAGCCCCAGAGGCCACGACAGCACTAAGGCGTGAAAGGTTCGTCACTTGTGCAGGGCTGGCGTGTGTGCTCATGCAGCCCCTCAGCGCGCATGCGCCCAGGCCCTGGCCTGGTTCACCCAACTGCTAAGAAGCTAGGCCAGTAGTTAAACTGTGTCTCCCTGCCCTTAAATTTCAGGCTCTTCTCCTCTCACACTACATAGACTCTTGTTCGTCTCATCCTTTTAAAAGTTTAGAGAGTTGGACATCTTACGTTATTTTAGAGATGGCCTGTACTTAAGGTTAGTTTTCTTGTCATTTCATAGCAGCGTGCTTGTCCAGTGACCATTTAGATGGGCACCAGCTGTAGACAGGGACATGCATTAAGGGCTCAGAGGCTTCTGCAGAGCTGCGGTGCCGCTGGGAAGCAACGCCCAGGCCTCAGATGTAACTTGGAACATTTCCGGGGCAGTGTGAGGCCCAGAGGAAGGGGAAGACAGGGTGGGCTTAGAGTGCTGAGAAAACAGGCCAGGGAGTGGGCAGGCTGGGGCTCGTGCGACGGATGGCCCGACAGCAGCTGGAACCAGGCGGTCCCTTCTGCGCTGTTCGTGCAGGGGACATGGCAGGAGGATGGGGGAGGAACTGATGTACGATAAACTTTCTTTTGTAGAAGAGAATACTAAAGTTGTTGAAGAATTAATAGAAGAAAACAACGACATGAAGACTAAATTGGAAGAACTACAGATGCTCTGTAAAATGCCACCAAGGTAGATCTTTGCTCTTTTAAACCATCCTATTGCTACAAGGTGTTACATGTTTTGAGACCTTTATTTTTTATATAGCAAAAAGTATAAAAGAGAAGACAATCTTCCCAACCCTCTCCCTGGAAGATACTCAGAGTCCTTGTTTTATATCATCTGAGCCTCTTTATAGCCACACACCATGTGCACGGCACATTTTTTAAGTGGGATTGTAACCCTTCCTTAGGAAAGCATTTGTCCAAGTTATTGGATGTTTTCCTACAGTATGCTTTTCAGTAGCTTTCAGCATTTCATCACGTGGCCGTACCTTTTCTGCACACACACACATACACACACCCCGCTTCCTCCTTTCCTTTCCTTTCCTTTGTGGTATTGGGACTTGCACCGGGGCCCCTCCACTGAGCTACATCCTCCGCTCTTTTTATTTTGAGACTGGGCTCCCCAAATCGCTGAACATCCCAGGCTGGGCTTGAACTTGCAGTCCTCCTGTGCCAGGCCCCCTGAGTGCTGGCTGGCAGGTGTGCGCCGCCACGCCCCCCCCCCCCCATGAAGTGTGAGCCATGTGGCGGCCCAGTGGCTTCCTGTTCCTCTTCCACGTGGCGAGCTTCTGCAGTGGGAGCTCTCTGCACATCTCGCTCCTCGCAGGAGGACGCGCGGACGCACGTCTGCTTCTTAAGCGGACCGCCACTCAGGGTCTGTGTCTCTGCCGCCCTTGGTTTGTCTTAGGTCCCAGTCAGAGGGGGCCGTGGAAAGCGCCCGTCGGCCGGGTCACGAGCAGGCCCTGGAAGAGCTTCGCGGGCAGTACATGAAAGCCGTGAGGAAAATCAAGCGTGAGTCCCTGCAGGCGCTCCCAGGGCCTCGGGAGGGCTGGGCCGCTTCACTGCTGTGAGACTGCGCTGGGTCTGCCAAGACCCACCTTCGATACTGCCCATGCCACTTCAGCAGTGTGCAGTAATGGGTCCTGCGGCCAGGCGCTGCCCTCGGGAGGCGCCAGAGTGGAGTTGCTGTTCTGTTGTTGAGGATTCCACTTTTGTTGTTTAAACGTTTTATAAGCTAAAACTTTAATTTTACAGTCTAAAGTGTAGTGAGCATATGGCAAGCAAGTTTTAAATGAGCAATTACTAGGAGCCAGGGAGATGGCTCAGTAGAATAAGCACTTCCCAAGCAAGTGCAAGGACCTGAGTTCAATCCCCAGTTCTGCCAAAAAAAAAAAAAAGAAATGATGATCTTTTTGTGTTAATTATTGGAACTGTCCTACAAAGTTGATTTGAAACTGTCTCATTGCTATTTGTTTCTCAATAAAATTATGGAAAAAATGAATAAAATAAATAAATAAATGAGCAATTACTACTTTCTAACAAAAACTTTTGGGCCTTTGGCAGTGGATGTAGTTGGGAGCGCATCTGTTGTTGCTCATTTTTATTTCTTTTTTTTTTTTTTTTTCTTTTCAAAGTTTTATTGATAAACGTTCATTTTTATTTCAAATAGCTGTGAATTTGCCAAATCTCTGTTGTTCAAGGCCAGGTGGTACCAGCTATTCTGAAAAGTAGTCTCCTCATATGCTTCCTCAATGTAGAATACTTCCTCCTTTTTCATTACCAGGTTGCCCCAAATGTGTGGATGTCACAACACAGCAACCAGTGTTTACATAGGAAAAAGATGTTTGTCCCCTAAAATATATTCACTTTTTAAAAATAATATATGATTTATTTACCTGGTATAGAGACTCGCTACGCAGACTCGTAGTGATCCTCCTGCCTCAGCCTACCCAGAGCTGGGATTATAGATGGGTGCCACCATGCCGGGTTTCGTGGTGGCATAGAGTATGTGGTACCAGGGATTGAACCCAGGTCCTTGCGCTTGCCCGCAGCCCCTGTATTCACTTTGGAAAACACGTAAACAGGCCTCGAATTCCAAATAGAATGAGTGGACACTGGCGTCCTGTGAATGTTCTGCGAAGCTCCTTCGGCATCCCCTAGGAGGACCTGCGTCTCCTCCTTGCCGGTGCTCGCGAGGGCTGGGTTGTATAGACGGAGCAACCTGGGCTTGACAATCTAATTCGGCAGTGAAGTCTTAAACACTTTCCATCCTAATAGAGAGTGTGTGTGTTTTACGTTTTAGAAGACTGCTGATTTTATGTTGACCTGTACTTCATTTTAATTTTTCCAACTCAACAAAAAATACCCCCGTTAGTACTTTTGCATAGAACATCTAATTTTCAGATGCTTGCTGGCACTGAGAGCCGCTCCTGTGTGAGTCAGCATCACATACAATAGGCGCGGTGGCATCTGAGGTGTGGGACGTAGCCCTGGACTTAGTACAAGCAGTTGGCCTTAACTCATTGTATCCCAGTCAAAGCCGTGCTGAGTTAAAGTGAAAAGAGAATTTAAAAGCTTTGAGTTAAGATTTTTGTATGAATTTCTGGAGGAAACTGTAACAGCCAGCGTTCTGCGGGCCGTAGCGCTTTGCACGTGTCTCTCATGCGTCGTGATCTTGTGTCTAGATACTGGAGCAGGTGTGGAATTAATAAAGGGATATGGGTCTCCAGGACGCAGGAGTCCAGCTCGCACTGCGCCCATCTTGGCTTCTGCCTTCCAGGGTCCGCTGTTCTCTCTTTCACCCCATGTGTCTTCCTTTAACTGGGCATCATGTAGGGTTGTAGTGCTTCCATTTCTGTGATGCGTATTTGTCGTTTCCTTGTTAACATGTTCTGCAGTCCGACCGAGTCCACCCTGCTTGCTTCCCCCATGTGGCTGTCATCAGTCCATAAGGACCGGTAGGTCCCTTCCCTGTGATGCTGCCAGGAATGGTGGCCTGGAGTGTGGCCCACAGGTTCCACGCGTGCATGTCCTGCCTGCAGTCTCCCAGCGGCTTGGCCTGGGCTTGCCCCTCCTCCCTGCACGGGCGCTCAGCTCTCACCCCTGTGTGCTTTCCCGCCCTGCAGGCGACATGCTCCGCTACATCCAGGAGAGCAAGCAACGGGCCTCGGAAATGGTGAAGGAGGAGGTGCTACGGGAGCGCCAAGAGACCGCCCGCAAGATGCGCAAGTACTACCTGATTTGCCTCCAGCAGATTCTGCAGGATGATGGAAAAGAAGAAGGGTAAGCTCGGTCCAAACAGACCGCTGTCCTGGGGGCCCCGGGACAGCACGCAGCCACGCTCTGCGCATCTCCCTAGCCACAGAATTAGCTGTCCTGTGTGACCTGCCTCGGGGGATTAAGATAGGCTGGTGGTGTTGCTAGCCTAACTGTTGGCAGAGCTAAGAGGAAAGCAAATCCGAGGGCTTAGGGCTCTCACTTTTTCATATAAACTATTTTAATCTTACATTCTGGAATTCCCCACAGGGCGGAGAAGAAGATTATGAACACTGCGAGCAAGCTTGCTACAATGGCGAAGTTGCTGGAAACGCCAGCTTCTCATAGACTCCAGAGCAGAGCGCCACAGCCCGGTATGTCCATAGGAGCCACGTGGGTGGCTTCCCCGTCTCTTCTTTTGGAATGTAGTGCGGCTCATACAAGAAAGGGAATGGGAGCTAATTTATAGGATTGTGCCTGAACTGGAAATTTACAGGAAGGAACAGGGAGTGTCCAGCTGCCAGCTGAGTATGGGTAGAGTGAGAATCCCCACCCCTTCCCATCCTTGCTTCCATCCCTAGCTACTACAGAAAACATTTTAAACAACAAGTAACGAATGAAAAAGTACAAAATTAACTCCTGGGTTTTAAATGTTTGTCAAAATATCTCAGCTGCATCTATGAAACTACCACATTCACACTCTATATTAGTAACTAGAGAGGCACTAATAAATACAGGGCTGGGACACGGCTCTGCAGAAGAGCTCTTGCCTGACATGTGCAAGACTCGGGGTTGATCCCAGAACCGCAAAGAAGGGGGACAAAAGATTGTAACAGGTAAACCAGAAGCCATGAAAAGTGCCTGGGAGAAAGGAGGTGGCATCTGATTGGAGATGGGCAACTTCAGGGCAACGGCCTGACGATGACAACCACACAGAGGAAAGCCCAAAACTGCCCCTGGGAGCTGCGGGGCTGGGCTCTGTGGTGTGTCTGGGCTGGCTCGCCAGGCTCCCAGAGCAGCAGCAGCAGCCGGTGCGGTCCCTGCCTGTGTCTCTCCATCCACCCCTTCTAGTCCACTGGGCAGCAGCCGCGCCCAGAGGGTGAGGCTAGGAGCAGGCAGTGTTCGGGCAGCCAGCCACACCCAGGAGCAGCGGGAGCCCCTGTGCCCAGGCCGCCAGCTGCTGTGCCTGCAGATCTTGTCCCCACCTGCCCCCTGATCCCTCTAAGGGAGCAGGACAGACACATTATGCAGTGCATCTAAAAGACAAACATTTAACCAAAATCACCCTGTGTTTATAGAAAGCCACCACCATGAAAAAAGACTAAATTAACAATGAAACAAAACCAATAAAATGTATACCTAAGGTGGCAGCATTCACAGGTCCAACAAGGGGGCCTGAGAACCTGTAATACAGTGTTCCTAGTGAAGTGGCCGAGGGAATCATTGCAGACTTGCTATGACTTGCTATTTTCAAGGAGATGATGTAGGTACTGATGACGCGAGCTGAAAAACACAGATTTTTGTCTATGTTGAAATTTCAGGATAACCAACAAAGAAATAGAAATGGATTCAAATTAGTAGAGGAAAACTTTTGAAGAAAAATTTTAATCTAACGAAATCAGTAGAGTTGGAGATACAGCTCAGCAGCATAAGCACCTGCCTGGCAAGCTTAAGGTCCTGAGTTTGATCCCTAGTACTGCCAAATAAATAAATAAATCAGGAAAGAGGATAAAGCCTAGAAAACCTGGGTAAGTGGAAGATAGTAATATCAGCAATCAAACTAAATGTGATGAGGTTAAATTTACTTGTATGACCATAATCCCTGCACTCGAAGAGGCTGAAGCAGGCAGATCACAAGTTCAAGCCCCACCTGAGAAACTGAGACTTCATGTGAAACCTGTCCCCCACCACCACCAAAAAAAAAAGAAAATTAAAAAGCTGGCAATGTAGATTAGTGCAAAGGCCTTGGGTTCAATCCCACCTAGTGCAACTCCCTTCCCTCCCCCTGCAAAAGAGCCACAACTTTCAAATAGGAATTTACAAAAATGGGTATTTTCTTTTTATAAGAATTTTGAAGATGCAAAATAATAGGAAGGTGAATGATATGCCAAGCAAATGCGATGCTGACAGATAGGTTAGAAAGAAAAGTGCAACATAAAGAGAAGTTAGAGATGGGATGGCGTTAACTTGGGCAGGTGGTCGTCCTTCGCGGCAGAGCGCTCCTGAGAGGGCGCAGGTGAGCGTTGTGTGCATGACATAGTTTATGAAGTGTGAGCGGAGAGAAACACAGGCAAAGCATGGTCCGCACTGTCGCCTGGGAGGCCCAGACTGTGCCTGTCAGGATGGAGCTTTGGCGCTTGTAGGAAGCTCCAAGCAGAGATGATTCAGGAAGCCATGAGACATTCCCCATACAATTTTATTCAGATCATTTTATTTTTATGCCTCAAATAATTTTCTAAATCTGGAGCCACAGTGCAAATCAAACCCGGATAGAAGCAACCCCTTCCGTGGACGCTGGAGAGCAGCAAACTCTGGGACTTGCCGTTTCTGGTGTCATGCGTGTGGTGCTTTTGTTACTGATCTGATTTAGTACCCTGGCCGAATAAATCAGAACCTGTTTAGCCTTTACAGAGGAGTGTGTGTGCATGCACCTGTGCGTGTGTGTGATTGTGTGTGTGCTGTGTTGCTGCTCGCAAACTTCCTTTGTCCCAAACGCCACCGCTGACATCAGAGTCAACAAGAACTGGAAACCCTGCAGCTGACTCCTGAAATACTGTGCCATCTAAGGCAAAGTGATGGAGTGGGTGGACCGCAGGAGCGATGTATCAGATTCCAGCCACAAAATTACCAAGATTTTTGCTTGATACTTAGAACAGTTTTATAGGTCTAGCATTGTTGCCTTTGCTTTGGGAAGGAATTAAAATCTCTCTGCCTTTTTTGAGAAGACTTAACAACCACACGTGTGTTCAGCTTTGAATGTCCATTTTCTCCTCACACGTGTTCCCTGATTTTGTTTTCCCTGGCTTCAGAGACGCTGGCTGAAGTTGAAACGCCAAAAAGAACCCTCGAGAACCACAGTCCGCCCTGCTGCACTGAGAGGGAGCCGCGCAGCGTGACAGCCGAGCCCCGAGGCGCGAGCGGACAGGCGGCTACCAAGAGGGCCGCGTGTAACTTGGAAAGGCGGTTGCAGGATCCCGAGCCCAGGGCCCTGCAGCGGGTGGGCTCCGACGGGTTACTGTCAGACTTCCACTTGGGGGACGGTCGTTGCACGCACCCGGACATGTCGCCCAGGACTATTTCTCCTGAGTTTGCGCCATGCGAAGGCAAGGGCGGCTCGGCTGTGCACAGGAAGAGAGCGCTGCTCAGCGCCGAGCCGCCCCGAGGCCTGCGCGGAGCGCCCTGCCCGAGGCGGAGCCCTGGGCTCGCCGCCTCGGGATCCACACTCGCACCCTTCCCCTCGCCCAGCCGGAGCCCGGGCTGCGAGCCGCACATGCACGCTTCCCCGGGCCGAGGGCTGGGTGTCCAGGAAACTCCGGTGAAGGACGGGGGACCCCTCGGTGACTCCATCGGCTGGCTCTCAGACAGCACTTTACCCTGCCATAGTCTGGAAGTGTCGTTCTTGTACGATCAGCCACAGGGGACGCCGCATGCGCAGGATGAACCCTGGAAGCTCTCGGCAGCCCACTGCCTTTCAGATGCAGAGGTGGGCGGGCAGCTGACGAAGCACCAGAGAGACCCTGCTCCGCGCGAAGCCAGGTGTCCCCAGCGAGGCAGGCCAGGCGGGATTCGACACCCAGCTTCCCCAAGGGCGGCTGTGTGGATGTCAGAGTTCAGAACTGGGAGTGGTCCCCTGGCTGCCCCGGGGGTTCTGCAGCCTCCGCGACCACCACCGCCTCGCCTGTCTACGCAGCAGGACAGTGGCTTCGACAGCCCGTGCGTGCAGCTAGACTAGCGGCGCTGTGCCTGAAGAGACTCGCTAATCTATCAGAAGGAAACCAAAGAGAAGGCTTGACACTGATAAACTGTGGGCTCAGCCTCCTTCGAGATGTTTTAATAACTTTTATTATGAATAAATCATTCTCATTAAAGTATTTGGGATATTTATGTTGCCTTACTCCACAGGCTGGATGGGACGTGTGTATTCTGCTTTCATGTGGTGCTTGTATTTGGTTGCTAATGTATGTATTTTTATACTTCTAAATTGGTCACTCTGCTGTTATTTAAATAAAATTGCTTGCAATCTGTACACTCGACATGAGTTATTTGTATTGTGTGATATAGAAATGTATATTAAGGGCCAGCCAAATAGCTCAGCAGATTAAAGTGCCTACAAGCAAGCACAGGAGCCAGGAGTTCCATCCCCAGATGTGCTATGCCGTCCTGCCCCTGGGGCGCACTGAGATGGCAGTTGAGACTGGGCGTGGTGGTGCCCGTCTGTAATCCCAGCTCTTGGGAGGCTGTAAACAGGCGGATCAGTACGAGTTGGATCAAGTAGTGAGAACCTGAACACCCTGTAGACCCTTCCCTAAAATACAAAGAAAAAAAAAAAAAAGAAATGTATATTAAGGGCATTACGTTTGAAGTTCACCTAGAAAAAGTACAGTGTGAAGTTTTACATGAATGACCAGCCAAATCTGATTATTAAAGTTACCATGTTTATAAGGCTATGGCAGGTGGGCCGGGGATATAGCTCAGTGGCATAAGTAAGTATCTTCCGGGCAAGTGTAAGGTCCCCAGTTCAAGCCCTGGTACCAAAAAAAAAAAAAGCTTATGGACTTAAAATAGATGTACCTTTCCTGAAAATCGCTCCTTAAAATTTCAACCCTTGTTGGCCAGGCCAGGCGAGCGGTGTGCTCACAATCCCAGCACTGGAGCGCTGAGGAGGGATGGCGGCTGAGTTCAAGGCCAGCCTGGACTATGCATCTAGTGAGACCCTGTCAGCCTGCCCACTTTGAAGAGATTTGATTACAAAATGCACAGCTGTATCCTGCTTTTGATATTTGAACTATTAGTCTCAATATTTGCAATTGATATTTGAGTTACTTTAAATCACCTGGGATATCCAGAGACTGTCTCTTCTGTGACCTCATGTTTTCCTTTCATCTGAAATACCTTTTGGAAATTAAATTTTTAAAAATCATGTATTAGGTACAGGGTCTCTATGCAGCTCGGACTCTGGGGCCGGCACAACATGCAGTACCAAGGATCACACCCAAGTCCTTGTGCTTCCCAGGCAGGTGCTTAGACCACTGAGCTATCTCCCCAGCCCCCCTTTTGGAAACTAAAACAAGTCTTTTCATGTGAAAAATGTAAACCTATTACTTTTTCCATTTATAGTGCACAAGCTGCTAACTTAGTGATGTGGGTTGAAATTCTGAGCTGACGGGCAGATCGCAGAAATGAACAGTTAACGTCAGTGCTTTCGTTTCTGGATAAATTCACAGATTCATCAAGAGGAATAAGAAAATTTTAGGAGTGTTCTGGCGGTTCTGTAAAGTCTTGAACTGTAGTTTATGGGCGATATTTTGAAATTAAGTCAGTAAAATTTCCCTCCAGAACCAGGCTAAGTGGTAGCAGAGGTGTGGACGGCAACAACATCCTCCTCAGATTGCCGGCTCTAAAGAGCAGCACCTAGAAGTGCAACTTCAGATCTTGCAAAGCTGTCACCTCAACTGGTGATGACCAGGTAGTGTGAGGGCAGCGCTGGAGTTCAGGTGTTTCTGATCAGTGCGAATCTGCCGAATCCAGCGCTCAGGCGCCGGCGGGACAGGACGGAGGTGCAGGTGGCCTCGGTGCTGTGGCCACGCAGATCCCGCGCTGTGGCGACGGTGGTTGCTTTCAGCATGTTGCTGGGTTTCATTCGCTCAGGCGGTTAGGGTTTTCACGTGCATATCCACAGCGGTGCTGCTGTCTTGACTTTTTGAGATCTTTGTCTTTGCTCGGTGAGTGGGTAACGCTGGCTGAGGGAGGATTGAAAATATGTCTCTGCCTCTGTTCTGGGCGAGTTGAAGGACGGCAAATACTTCTTTATGTGGGCAGAACTCACCAGATGAAGGCAGGTATGTAGTCTGTGTGTGGGGGCGGGGGGCGGGATTTTAAAGCCAATTAGTTTTCTGATTACAAAACTACAATTTTCAGGGTTTTTGTGTGTGTGTGTGTGTGTGTGTGTGTGTGTGTGTGTGTGTGTGTGTTTTCAGTACCAGGGATTGAACTCAGGACCTTATGCTTGCAAGGCAGGCACTTATTCTACTGAGCCATCTCCCCAGCCCTTCAGGTCTTTATTGAGTTTTGATAGCTTTTTACTTTTGAGAAAATTGATCATTTCATCTGAATAGTCTAATTTGTGGATATAAAGATGGACATAGTATTCTCTTAATTTCAGTACTCCTGGTAGTGTCCCCCTTTTCTTTTCTTTTCTTTTTTTTTTTTTTTTTTAACAGGAATTGAACTCAGGACCTTGCCCTTGCTAGGTAGGTGCTTATACTCCTGACCTATATATTCCAGCTCCATCTTTCATGCTTGATTTTAGTATTCTGTGTCATCCCATTTTTCTTAGTATTTCTCAAGTTTGACACTTTTTCCCCACAGAATTTTGGTTTAATTTTTTTCTTTCTCTCTCTCTTTTTTTTTTTTTTTATTCCTTTTTCATTGACTTTCTCTCCCTGGTTTTATTTCCTTCCTGCTGCTTGCTTTAGGTTTAATGCTTCCTTCTTCATTCTAAAAGTGGTAGTGTACATTACTGATGTAACAGAGTTCTAATGTGGACGTTTAAAACTCCCAGCAGCCTCCACACACTGTTTAAGCTGCGCCTTGTGAATTTGATATGCTGTGGCTTTGCTTTGTTTCCAAGAATTGAGGATTTTTCAAATTTCTTTTTATGTTTATATTTCTTTGCTATTGGAGAGTACGCTGTGAGTGATTCCGGTCTTGAATTCTCTTGAGACTTATTTCACGCCTGCCTACCCGGTGGTCTGTCCCAGCGTGCGTCCACACGCACCCGAAACAGCCTGCTTGTCCTGGGACAGATACTTCAGAAGAGGCAGTTCAGTTAACAGTGCTCCTCAGGTCTGTTATAGCTGTGATATTTTTCTGCCTTTTTGTTCTTTTAGTTACCAAGGATGACTGTACTTACTAAATCGTTGATTCCTTTCAGCTCTATCAGTTTTTGCTTCATGTATTTCAGGGACTGGTTGTTAGTTTCATATGACCTTTATATTTGTTACATCTTTGTGATATATTGGTCATTATTATTGGTCTCTAGTGATATTTATTATAAAGTCCACTTTGTCATTATGACTGCTACTCCAGCTCTCTCACGATTACCATTTGTGTGCCATCTCACTTTCTAGTCACTGGGACATAGAAGCCACACCCACAAGTTGGAGGAGGAGAGGTTTATTTTGTCTCACAGCCAGTCAGTCGGCCTCAGGCAGAGCAGCGTGGCCCAAGGGCAGAGGAGAAGGAGAAACGGGATTGGTGTGGTGGCAGGAGGCAAGACTGACTTCTTCCACCCAGGCTTCACTACCAGCATCACCCAGATATGAAGGAAGGAAAGGTTTATTTAGTTCGTAGTTAGTGGAGGTTTCAGTCCGTACTCCACAGACTCCAAGGCAGACTACAGCAGTTCACGGCAGCAGAGAACAGCAAAGAGCAGAGGCAGGAGCGGCAGCGGTGGCATCTGTCGAGCCTCTCTCCCTTCCATGCTGACTGTGAAGACTGGAGCTCCACCATGAAGACCAAGCTCCTACGAAGTGGCATGGCTGCGAAATGGCATGGCGAAGACTAGGACTTCTCCAAGGAAGCAGGGCATGCAGAAGCCTTCCTCAACCCCTTTATGTACCCTTTCTGTGTGCTGAGTCACTCTAGGGCGGGTCCTACCTGCCCTAGGGCTGGCCCCCCACATCAGGGGAGGGAGCCAGCCAAGCTCCCAGCATCTCAAGTTAACACAATGTATCAACCACCACAATCCAACCCTTGTCAACTTGGCAACTACACATATACTACTTTAAACCGATCTCCAGATACAAAGACTTGCTTATTAACATTTTACAACTGGGACATTATAACACAGCTTTAGTAAGTAGTCCTTAAGAATCACTAGTAAGTCTATTAACATTATATTACATGAGAAGCATAGCATTCTGCCTCTGCCCCCCCAAAGACTCATGCACACCCCTTTATGCAAAAAGTACTTCAGTTTATCTGCAAGAATTGCCAAAGTCCTAACAGTTTCAGCACTGTGGAAAAGTCCAAGTTCCAAGATATAAGGCAAACTCTTAACTGTGAACCACTACACACTTACAACATTCAAAAGCACAAGATAAACATTATCATTCCAAAAGGTATACACAGGAGGATACAAAGCACTGGGAACAAAACAAGTCCAAAATCCAGAAAGGCAAACACTAAGCCCTGCAGTTCCATGTGGAACATCCAAAGTGCCCTGTAATGAGTTGTGAGCTCCAAAGCCTTACATGGCTCCACCCCTGTGGCACCTCTGCTGGTAGCCCCCGTGGTTTTTCTTGCAGGCCTGCTTTGCTCCTTTTTGCAGCTTTCCATAGAAAATCCACATTCCTCGCTTTTTAAAACTTGTGAGGTTTTCACTGAATAGGCTCTTCTCACTCACAACTTTACACACTGCCCTCTCAGGGGCGCACTGTCTGGCCTCCCAGGCCTTCTGCAATGTAGGTGGAAGCTTTCTTAACCTCATAACTCCTGCACTCTGAGTGCATCTAGAACCAACGCCATGTGAATGCTGCCAAGGGCTGCTGCCGGGTGGAGCAGTAGCCAGGCTTTCCTCTCTCTTGGCTGTAAGGGGCCGAGTGCTGGATTGCTGAGCGCTATAATACTGATTCTGAGGAACAAATTCTTTGTGTCAGCACCATTCTGGAATCTGGTGTGGCCGCTGCCTCTATTGTGGAACCTGGTGTGGCTGCCACCTCCATTCTGGTGGTGGCAAAGCAAAGTCCCTCAGCCTTGTGTCTCTGAGGCTGCAAAGGGCAAGAACCTGACACTTCCTGTGATGCCCTCTGTCTCAGTTCCTCTTCTTTCATTGCTGGGACAAATATCTGACACCCAAAGTGAAGGAAGGAAAGGTTTATTCAGCTCACAGTTACTGGAGGTCTCAGTCTATACTCAGCTGGCTCCACGGCAGAGCGACACATGGCA